CCCTCCCCTTTGATTAAAATAAGTGAAGGGATGCTCATTTTTATGCTACAGAGGCACAGTGTACCCCCAAATAGGTTGGTGAAGAAAGAACCACTATTAAGGATTGTGGGTGTGATTTGCTCTCCTCCGTAGCACTTCCAAATACCCTGCTTTATTTACCCCTATGTGAGTGAATGTTAGCCTGTCCTTTTATGTAGGAGAAAGTAAACTGAATGAAATTTTTGCCTTGTTGGTCTAAGTATCCACTCATTTCTCCTCTCCTACTTCTATTGACCTCTATACACTCTATACTATGGAATTCAATAGGCACCACTTGAACAAAGTCTGTTGCTGTCTGATCCACCCAGCTAGTGAGAAGACTTCTTAAGTCTGTTTCAAAACTGTCTGATGTCAGTGATGGAAAAACATCTAATGTGCTACCACTGTTAAGGACAACAGAGGAGATCAAGGGGGGGGGACGAGGGGGACATGATAGCAGTGTTCCAATATCTCAGGGGCTGCCACAAAGAAGAGGGAGTCAAGCTATTCTCCAAAGTGTCTGAAGGCAGGACAAGAAGCAATGGATGGAAACTAATCAAGGAAAGAAGCAACCTAGAACTAAGGAGAAACTTCCTGACAGTTAGAACAATTAATCAGTGGAACAACCTGCTTCCAGAAGCGGTGAATGCTCCAACACTGGAAGTTTTTAAGAAGAGACTGGACAGCCATTTGTCCGAAATGGTATAGGGTTTCCTGCTTGAGCAGGGGGTTGGACTAGAAGACCTCCAAGGTCTCTTCCAACTTTATTATTATTATTAAGACAAAGCCTGTGCAGATGTAGTGTGACATTTTCAGGTTTCTGCTTCTGTACTGAACACAGTTCTATCAATGGTGAGCTGCCGTCACGGAGATGGCAGTGAGGATCTTTTCCTAGATTTCTGTTTTGCCACACCAATGTTTAGTTCACTCTTTTTCTCTGTGGTTCTCTCTAAAATTTCGAAGCACTTAAATTTGCTGGTTTTAAGTTTTTCTTTGTGTGTTCCTAACACAGATGCACAGAAGACTTTTTAAATTTAAATTATAATTTGCACTAATAGTACATTTGCTATTTGGAACATATGTTTAATTTTCGAAAAGCACCTTTAGCACAGAGCTAGAGATTGCAATTGCATTTGTGTTTATGGACAAATATAAATTGCACTGGAAGTTGCCTTGCTCCATTCCTTGGAAATGATGGTTCTCTAGTCAATTTTAGAATCTACTTCATAATAATTTCTTGACAGCATCACAATACCATAGAAACATCACCTTGCTGATATTCATAGCATACCTTTCTCTATTTTTATGTTAATTCTACCAGGAACTATATGATGTTTTTACCATAATAAGGCCCTATTCACCATTGGGAAAGCATTACTTCAGGAATTCTCTCACTAATACTTTCTGTCAAAATAATTTGGGGAGCAGGGTAGGGAGGAGAAATTATCTGTTAGTCCCCTTTCTTCTTTTAAATCACCTATGCAGTGGAGGGGAGTGTCCATTGACTCTACTCTATTTATACAGAAAGCCACAACTGCCCCCTTGCCAAAAGCTCAGAGTATAAAACAAAACAAAATCATTCACTGATATTTTTGCTTTGTTAGCTAAGGGGTATATGTATTGGTAAAGGGGAAGAAGGAAAAATGGCACAAGAAATCTCCTGCCATTTTTCCTTCTTCCCCTTTACCAATACATATACCCCTTAGCTAACAAAGATAGCCCTTCCTGCCATGTTCCAACAATGCATTTTCTTTCCCTATTCTTCAACAGTTCTAGTGATGGGATTCAGCCAGTTCGCACCAGTTCGGCAGAACCGGTAGCTAATTTTTTGTTGCTCAGGCCCAGAATGGACTTCCAGAAGCAGTATCCACACAGAGAATCGGTTGTTCACATATTTGAATCCCACCACTGAACATTTCTGAGTTTATTCCTTCTCTGGTAAGGAAAACAATGGTGAATGGTATGGTATAAATGAAGACATGGGAAGATTGCAGTTATAAAATAGTATTATGTAGATCACCTAATCCCTAAAATAGGATTAATGAAAGCCTTTTTAAAGGGACAACCAATTGTTCTGGAGAGGGCATTCATCATGTAATTTAGGATTTAAAATGATTGCATGGATTTTTGGTCAAAACAGCAAAACAATCATTTAACATGTGACATTTTAACTTTCCCCAAACACTCCCAGTGTTTGGTTTTTGGTTGAAAAAAAAAAAGTAGAAAAAAACTAATCAGTGGAGAAAGCAGTGAGAAGATGTCTGAAATTGTATAGGGTTTCCTGCCTGAGCAGGGGGTTGGACTAGAAGACCTCCAAGGTCCCTTCCAACTCTATTATTATTATTAAGATAACAGGAGGGGAGCCTCAGGTCCTTCATCATTTTTAAAAGGCCTTATGAATAAAAAGCTTTGACTATGTTAAAGTAGAAACATCATCTGAAACTCTGAGAAACATTGGCTAAACAGATTTGGAGAAAAAGACAGAATATGGACACAATGAACATATGAAAATGAGACAAGGTAAGAATTTTAGGGTTACATTCAGTAAAGAGAATTGAGAGAATCATCTATTGTGAAGAAACGGGGTCTCAAAAGTGGATCTGTGGGAATTTCTTTTCCTTGAATCTGAATGTATGTATGCACACATACATACAAATCTTTCAGCTATATCCTTTACCTTTCCATGGTAAGCATTATAAAAAAACAGAGAAAAGGAATAGGGAATGGTAAACCATAGGAATTTAGGCATGAGATCAGAAAAAGCAAAGAAACCACAGCTAAATTTTGTTTATACCAAACATTTCATTATACCTTCCCAGAGCTTTTCATTCTTGTAAAACATGAATAATATGTGATTCCTCCATATCCATACAATGCTTCATACATTGCCTTTGGCTCTTTAAACTTTGCACCTCCTGCTTTTTAAAGAATTCATCATCTTTCCTGTCTTCTTCCTCTCAACCCATTTACTTTTCCTTAACACATTTGTTTTGTGATTCAGTTCTCACTGATTCCCTTTATATGAATATCTTAATATACTTTTCTACTGCTCACTGTTTGTATGTAATCCATATTTATTCAGTACCCTTTAATCTGATCCTTCTGATTCATCAACTGCGACATACCTAATTCTCACTTCTATATAACAAAATGAGAAGAAATACATTCTTTTATGTAATTCTTTTGTGAAGTATCCATTCCTCATGATAGACCCCTTACCACCTACCATTTTTCTATTAGTATTTGTATGTTTGAAAAGTTCTGCATCCGTTTCCCTATTTTTAGTAAGCATTCTACTGAGGTATACTTTTATCTCTTTATGTACAAGCTGCACTTGTTCATTCCGTTTCCCCATCAAGTACTTGGTTTTGATATATTAGTTTTCACATCCATATTCTTATTGCAGCATTCACTGTATTTAACATGCACTGAAAATCATTCAGGTTCTTACCCAGCAACAATCATTGTTTGCGTACAAAGTGACACACAGATTTATGTCCCTAACAACAGCACCTCAGTAACATTACCACAAGCATTCAGTTGTTTGATAAGCAATTCATATTTTAACATTTTTCCTGTTATATCATCCATTCATGCAGCCTTAGCCATTTTTAATATTCCCATATTATGTATGATTTCCTTGTCATCAATGTTTTCTTGACCACTTAAGATTTGTAGCATTCATTTTTATCATCCCTCATACAAATCTCTAATACTATATCCCCTCACTTCACCCAGATAATCCCATCATTTCTGTTATATTTTTGTCACCATTGGTCTATACTTTCTCTCTTTTAATTTTGACCGTTTCTCAATCCCCTTGCCAATATTCTTTGAAACCTTTTTCCTATATATGCGTTATATAATTTGTAGCAATCACTTCCTGACATGCATTTTCCCTTCATCTACAGCCTCTTTTACTTCATAATTATATCAAAATTCATTTTTTGTACTTCATATTAGTGTTACACACTAATCCCACACATCTGACAAACCAAAGAGACAAAAAGCAATGATTTTAGGAAGGTATATTTAATGCCAGTCTGGGATTAAAACTACAAGGGGATGAGAATGGTAAAATCAGCCATTTACGCTGTGAATATCCATCTGAAGAATGTGGGGCCGGAGGGTTCATGGCTAGCCACTTTGATAGACATTATTGTGGCAAGTGCTGTTTGACATACTGCTTCAATAAACCAGAAGACAAGTGAATATGTCTATTGTAATAAAAAAACCTTTAAACATTTTTTTAAAAAAACAAAATAGGTTGTCCAAAACTGTAGGAGTAAACTCCCAACCAGAGTTAAATGAATCTTTCAAATGCCCAAACATTAAAAAAAGATTTTCCAAAATTCAGCCCGTTCTAAAATTCAATATTGAGAAGAATGTAGCATTATCTTCCCCACTGTGGAAAGCAATACAGTATTGCCTAGTGCTCTAAATTCTGAGTAGAGACTTAAGTACAGTGAAATGCACTTTGATAGCACCCTCAAAGTTGTGATAACTATATCTTTTAAATTCTATTCATTTGGAAATAATGAAAAGTAATCATTGTCAATATAATTATATAAATATCCATGCCAGTCTGAACATAAATCAGCTAAATGAATTTTGAGGAATACACACACAAACACACACCATATGCTGGAGAAAAATATTGCAGTAATGTATTCATTATTTACTTGGAAATATGTATTGATTCCTATTTGTATATGTATAGAAATATCTTACCTGTGTGGGAAATGGAATCTTCCACTATTTAGCAAGCCTTTGTTGAATGAGTCATCCTGGCTGCATCTTATTGGTTCACATAGTTAGCATCCAAGGAATTGCTGCCTGGTAGAGCCTGCCAGGCCCTGCTTCATTCACAGAAATGCTGGTGTGCTAGCCAGCTCTTTCATTCACATATACAGAAATCCATTCATATTTTCCAGTTTTTTTGTTTTTTTTTAAAAAAATTACTTTTCATGAAGGGAATAATTTCTGAATGACAGAGATTGCGGCTTATTGCAGAACACAAGATCAGAAACGATCCATACCATGTATATTTGCTGTTGCTAGGGTAGCAGGAGAAAAGGGGGAAAAAAATGAATGCAGTGTGGAAGCTGTAGCAGGTTTGCACTGTGATGAAAGGCTATTCTGCAGATCACTAGAAATTTGCTTTTTACAATGAATGGGGCATTTTCATTCATCACTGCTGGGATCAGAGGTGCTGCCTTCATCTATGTGTCATAAATTTGTCTCATTAAATACCTGCATTGAAAGATGCTGTTGTGTGATTGCTTTTTCTGTAATTCAGCCTTTACTCTGAGAAAACTGTCGTATGTTCTCTGGATAATATATTAAGTTGTGTGCTGCCATTCTCATTTCTGTTTTGTTTGTTTGTTTGTTTAAGTTGCAGTTTAATAAGGATTATTCTGAAATTTGCCTTTTTTGTCTAATTGTTCAAAATCATAGTTTAAAATATAAATACATGAATTTAATAAAACATGAGCAAGATTAGCTTTCCATAATAATGTTACATTTTGCATGATTGCAATAAATACATTACACATGTTTTAAAGGTTGGTGTGTTGCTTATCTCTTCATATTAGGAATTTTATGCATCTTTTATTATTATTGATGAAAATCAAAATGCTTATTAATGGATTTATTTTCAGTTTGGAAAGGAGGCATTACTATTTTGTCTTAAATATTTTTCAGTTGTCCTTTAGCATTTCTGAAATATTAGATTAAAGTAAATATGCTTGTGTGTGTATGTGTGTTAATACAAATTACTTAAACTGTATGCTTTTCATACTGTACAGCACAACATTTAATATAAAACTGTTCGCACTGAAAATACCATAATCAGAACACTGTGGTTTTGAAAGAAAGACTGCACTTTGGTGATTATGGTGACAAACATATGGCTATTTTAATCGATAATGAGCTTTTCTGAAAGAGAGAGAGAGAGAGATTCTGTACTATATAGAATTTGTAGGATTGCTTTCTAATTTGGATAGTTGCACACTGGGGCATATTTTATAAAGTTATTAGAATAGGCTGGTACTTTGTATAGGGGAAAAAGTTAATGCAATTGCTTTGAGCCATTGCAAACATCCAGCAGGAAGGAAGGAAGGAAGGAAGGAAGGAAGGAAGGAAGGAAGGAAGGAAGGAAGGAAGGAAGGCTAAATATCTGTTTCAAATAGGGAAAGGAAATGTGAGAATTGATTGGAGGTAGTGTGCTGTAAGTGGGTGGATTTTTTTTCCTTACAGGAAGTGCTTTGCAGCATTCACTGAGCCTTTTGTTGAAAAGGGTCCTTCTCATTTGTGTGAGTCATGCTTTTGCTGTGAGAGACTTGGCAGCTCTGAGCTGGACTGGGATCTTTCTGTTGCACAGAAAATTACCGCTTTGCCTAGCCTTACCATGGAACCTTAAGCAAAATTCCTTTCATTTTTCTCTTTTAAAAAAACCCCACAAGCTCCTCCCCATGGCCACATTTTCACTGACCATCTTTGATACTCTGAATCATCTGCTATGTTAGTAGAGGAGTTTCCTGTTTGCCGGAACGTACACAAGATTCCAGATAGAAGGGCATGCTTCAGCGTTCCAAGTATAACCGCTTCAGGAATGATTCGATGACATCAGTGGATGATATTGTCCATAACTGGTCCATCAACAGCAAGTTCTCCTCAACAGATAGCACCTCAGCATCTTCACCATATCTGGCCTCACCTGAGAACCTCCAGAAAGAGCATGATGGACACACCACCCTTTCCACTCTTGTGCCTAAAGCGTCCCATTTAAAACTCTCCTCCACAGGCAGCCTTTGGGGCATCAAGAGTCTCTCCTCTGCAGTGAAAGAGCTGGCTGTGTCCAAGTTGCAGGGTGGCTCAGCAGCAGAGACCTCAGACAACATATGTAGCCTTGCTACTTCAACCCTGTCTTCTCAGCAGGACAAGAACAAGATGAATACCGGAAAAAAACCATGGTCGGAGGAAATGTACCTGGGAGGTGAGGACTGGAATCAACGTGGCAGCACTGTCAACAAAGTACCCCAAGGGTGGCTGCATTCAAATGAGAAGATCCTAGGACCTGGAGTGATGTACATTGTGAAGGTTGGTCTTTTTTTTCCTGCGCTCTATTTTCTTTGTATCTGTTTAATAAATGGGGGGGGGGGAAATCTAGACACCAGCCAAATCGGCTAGATGATTTTTAATACTAGTGTTTTATTTCTGGAAATCTGATGAAGACTGTTAAGTGCAAAAGACTTTATTATGAAAAAAAACTATGCTAATTTGCTTTCATTAAGTGAGCATTCAAGCTGACTGCTTGGCAGTTTAAATGATTTAAAACAGTGGGAAAGAGCACTTCCAAAATTAAAGGGATTATATATCCAGCTCTCCAGAGCACTGCATGTATTGTCTAGAGACAATTCATTAGTATTGTTTCTAGACAATCTGTAATAGGTGAGGTAAGAGTAACATCTTTCCGTATGATAATTCTGATTTCAAACGTCAAATATCTCAAATGGAGTATGTATGTGTGTGTGTGTGTGTGTGTGTGTGTACAAATGCACACGCAACTCTTTTATTTGCATGTCAAGCTAGAAGAGCAACAGCTTGTAGAATGTGTCTTATTTGCAAACAGAAATACTCTTTCTTCAAGTGGTGCATTCAAAATGCAGTCTTGTTTTACATAACAATCTTTAACAGGACTTTTTTTCTCTCTCTGTTCCCTGATAGTTGAGGGGTAGGACAAAAAATCCTTGTGCATTTCTAGATTAGCTTTTCTATTCAGTGTAGTTAAGGTCTCATCTGACCAGATGAAGTCTAAGACTTAAGGGAAAAATTAATGATTTATTTTGTGACTGCATGCCGATAGTTACTCGGTTCTAAAATGGCACTGTTGAGAATGAACATTTATTGTAACAGAGCAGATTTTCATAAAAAATAATTTGATGTTTCATAAGATTAAGCAGAAGCATTGTATTTATATTTTATTGAAAATAGGAATGATTATTTAAAGGGAAAAATTATGATGTACCATATAGTACAACAGAGTGCAGACTTTTAATTTCTCATTGCTCAAGATTCCATACTGATTGTACTTTTATTTTAGTTATCTTCTTAATTATCTGTTTTAAAGGTTTGCTTTTATAAAAATAGGAAAATTGTTACTGTTTGTAATTTGTAATTGTTTGTAATTATAGCTAGATTACTTAAGAACCATATTTAATGAATAAATTGAGCATGGCATATAGAGTAAAATATGCTTCTCAATGCTACCTTTCAGAATATAGTACTTATTATTGGATAGTGAAGGATATACCAATATATATATATAATATGGTGTCAGATTTTAGAATAGCTATTCTGTATCATTTGCTTAATGATATTGTGATAAAGCAGCGTCAGTTGCAAATTTCAGCTGACTTTAAAAACTTGATTGATGAGGCACTATTATTGGTGGATTAAATAATATGCTTGATAGAAATATTTTCATTTTAATTATTTATTATTGAAAGCTTCTCTTAAGCATTCGTGCTGACTTTTAATGGATAGGTAAATAGAAAACAAAGTGTATTTGTGATCTCAGTATATAATTCTAGTTCAGCAAAAAGATTATCATTATTGGACGTTGTTTTTTGCTTCATGCTTATGAATTGATTTGGAATGGAATAGAAAGTAGACCAGTATTATTCTGTTTGGTCAAAGTTTATTGTATTTAAAAGAGAACTGATATTTCTATTTTACTGAATTTTGTTTGCCTCATATTTTTTTTCTTTTTTAGATTCCCTTTTTTCCATTTCTATTTTTATTATTAAAGCAATTTTTTTTAAAAAAAGTTATGACATAGAGAATAATGAATTGTGATTCCATATATTTCAGATAGTTTGCTACCTAAAGTGATTTTTTTTCATTTGTTTCCAGACTTTACTGATAATTATTCTAATAATATTTTAGTGTTTTGAATTTTTAATGTTTCTGTTAGTCCTCCTGGTATATGTAATACATTACATGAATACACAGAATTAAAAAATAATATAACAATGATATTAGTTTTCCTCCAAAAAGAAACAGAGGAAGAAAGAACTAGAAATTTATCTTATGTCTGAAAATATTCACAAACAGCTGAAAAATTTTCTTTCTTGTCTCCTTGTTGTTGATAATGATGGTAAACGCATATCAACAGTCTTTTGCTGTAAGTCAGGAATAGATTTGTCTTTCTGATAATAAGAACATAATATATTTAAATTATATAACAATAACATTATATACAACAATTCTTTTTTAATGAAAATATCAATATACTTTTCTAAAGATGATTAACTGGCATATTTGATGGATTTTTCTAATGATCGACAGTTTTTGAACATTTGTTGTTAGGGAATCAGATCTATTCTTCCTCCATCCTTGTAAAACAGAAACAATATTTTTTTAGTATTGCTTGAGGGAGAAAAATAAGGATTTCATTAAGTTATGTTGGTGACAGGAAGGATAGCTATAGTTCATAAATAGAAGGAGATGAATATTCCAAATTTAAACTTTTAGTACTCCAAACTATTAGAAACAGTCCTAATGGAAAAGCTCCAGGATACAATACATTAAATCCAGAACATTATATCATAACATCTCTTATATTTAGCTTGGAAAGATTTTGTTTATCTTAATAACACATTCAGAATCCATTAGGAAACATTTATCTTCACCAATTTTAAATATATAGTGGGATAATGATAATTTTGAAAAAGAAGATTTAATGAGAAGTCGTGAATCAGTAATGCATTCAACAAATATATACTGTCCATGTAATATTTTAGTTAATTATCTAAAAATTTGAGTATTTTTATTCTAATCTGCTAATTGTTAATGAAGTAGTTTAAAATTTGCATTATCTATAATACTATACACAATGAATAAATGAAGGAATGAATGAAATCAACTCATTATTCAGCATTTTGGTATCTTAGAAGTTCATTATTTTAGTATCCTTCATTTTAATAATGCACATTATTAATTCTCTAATAACTTACTAATTTAACTTTTAACTACTTTAGATTTTGTCTAGTATTTTAATAACTAAACTTGCTTTTATACTGTTTGATCTGCTTTAATTTAAAGGATCTGATTAGAACTGTCCTTTTGCAATTTTCTTTCTCTCTGTATCTTGTATAAAATAAGTTTATATTATATACATGAAGCCAAGTAGAACTATACATAATTTTAGAAGTCAGTGATTATTTTTAGTCATATTGGCAATCCTGTGAATTTCAGCCAAAATGTGGCAATAGGGCAAGTTCAGCAAATCTATGAGCCAAGGTAGATGATAAAATCTTAGTATCTATATTTAAAGAAACAGTTGCTTCACTGGAACTTTAAGACTTGGAATGTGTGTGTGTGTATGCATTATTGAAACTGAGAAATAGGAGGAGGTTTGCAAAACATTTGATTTATATCACCTATTAAATAGAAGGAAAAATAATCAAATTAGCTGGGAAATCACCAGGACTTCTACAAAACAGTAAATTTTAGTTATATTCACAAGTTTTTGAAGACAGGGTTAGAAAAATAGTCCTGCAATAATCTCATTATCTATTGATGAAAAATTGAAACTGTTTAGTTTGAAGTAAAATTTTAAAAACCATTGAATAATTGGTTTAGAATCTATATACATTTCCCAAGTATACAATGGTACTGATGCAATTACTGAATTCGTTGAAGTATAAGGTCAGCATTTTCCTAGATTTTTCTTTCCTTCCTCAGCATCTATGCCTGGTGCAATGTAATAAAAACTCTGATTTTGCAATGTACCACTTGTTAAATTCATATTTAATAAAAGCCAGAGGTCTATATAAATTGTAATAAATGCTTTTGTTGCAGCCCATAGTAAAGCAATTAAATTAAAAAGGAAAAATGTGTAGCCATCTTTTTTTATCTGGTTAATAGTTCTTTATCATTCAAATATTCATACAAAGACTAGTTCAAAAATGTATATAAATTATTGCCAGGTGTATCTTTTAATTCCACAGGAATATTTAGCATCTGTATGAGCTGCCAACTTAACATAACCAGGAATTAGCTAAAGAAAAGCATTTTCTTTGTGCAGAAGAAAAGTAAATTCATGTTGGTAAGGATTATCACTTATCAGATATGCACCAGGTTAATTTGTATCTACTATAAATCCTGAAATATAATTTGGATTATGGCAGTTGCTGTGATCTAATTAGGGTCCTAGAATATGTTAGGCTCCTTTCTCTTAAATGCTACTGAAAGAAGATGAGGATAATAAATAAATTTAATAAATACATGGGCATTGCTTTAAAATATATAGTACAATATATATTGTACGTATTGGAACTCAAAATGCTAGTATTTCTTTTATCAGACATCCAGTATTCTTAGTGCAATGCAGTACATCAGTTCTTGCTGTAATATCTAACAATTTGGAACCGTGAGCGTAATCTAACCTCAAGGATCAGTGGCTGAAGACAGCTAAAATCTCTATTGTTTTTTTAAACTTTTGTGAGTTTGCATGATTTGCTGGTTTAAATTAATAAAAGATAAAAAATAAAAATGCAGGTGGTACTTACAACCAATTTTCTCTGATAAAGATAAATATATTTTGAAAACAGATATTCAGCAGGTTTATAGTCGAAATATATAAGGTGAAAGTACATTTTCTGAAAATAAAATTAAGCCAACTTTTTTTCAGCCTAATTTGCCATCTTAAACTCAGGGCCTTTTAAAAATAAATATAGAAAGATGCAATATTGCTGCTTATAATTGACAATGCCATGTATGGAGATACATCTAACACACATTAGACCTGTGTGATGGGATTTCTTCTGTTTTGTTTTGTTTTTTTCCATTTTTGCACCAGAAAAATCTATTTTACTTATGGCAAGTTCTAATTACAATTATGTTGGTCAAGATATTTTGTTGTCTGAGAATAGGAAATTATGTTTTTCAACTGTCTTATACCAACACTTACCAACTAATCAAGATGAGTAATTCCTAAAGCTATGCAGTTTGTCTTACAACTGATAGAAAATCCAATTAACATCTCTATTTATAAAAATATAACTAGATTATATTAAAAATAATTAACCATGCTT